TACATCAGAATATTTCTGATATCATATGCGAATCCAAATATAATTAATGTTCCTAAACTATGTGAAGATTTCATTAATTCAGGGCCCACCAGCGGCCGACCGGTAAAGTCGCTGAACACTGGTAGTTCGGTCCGAGGTTCGAATCCCGCGAACGGGCTGGCTGCATGGGCGTTTTCGTGGTTTTCCCCATGTGTAACGTGTATACGAGCCAGTTCCCTTAGAAAGTCCTCCACGAAGGCACCCCTCCTCTTAGGCAGATAGCCCTCGTGTGCTTTGCCATAATTCAATACACACATTAATTCAGAAATGAGGAACTTTTGTATGTCTGATAAAATTCATGCCTTAGATTTCGTTCTTTTCAGTAAATTTGCTTTGATGACCTAAGTTTAAAGTATGAAAAATATTTTTTTCAGTGCTATGCAACAGCTATATTATACCCCTGTTTTTTTTTCCAAATTTTCATGTCATGTTTTTATTTAAATCAAATGCGGTATTCATCAATCATGCTATCAAGCGCGATCGTTTATTTGAAGAACGAAGTTTTCAGACACAATTTAGGATGAAAACTAAATAAATAAATAGCCGGAACTTATTTCGTTTATCTGGGTCACCATTCCGTTTATTAGAGACGGGTCATTCTCAACTGTGCTCTGCGCATGAGCTATGGCAGTCTAGCTCGCGCTTGTGACGTGAAACAATCAGTAACATCGTTCAGGAAAGCTTAGAGCAGTTTTTTAGAATAGCTTTAGTTTAGGTTTCTGCAAGGCGTGGTGATTGTTTTGGGAGCTTTTTTGCAGAGTTTTAAATTTTTCCAAGATGCCTAGAAGAGATATGACACTTGCTGAAAGAATTGTTGTGCTGGATGAAATCAAGCGACATACACCTAGTACCAGTAACCGTCGTTTATCGCAACTTACTGGTGTACCAAAATTTACAATTGCTCGCTTAATGCAGCATGAGCATAAACTACGTGAAGAATGGGAACTGTGTAAAGGACAGCACCAAGCATCTCAAATGCGGAAGCGGGAAGGAAAGAATCCCGGTGTTGAGGAGGCTCTGAATCTGTGGTTTCTTTTTGCATCTGGACAAAGAATGCGTGTTAATGGTCCAGTGTTGAAAAGAAAGTCAGAGGAAATAGCTAAGGAATTGGGCCATGATGACTTTAAAGCAACAGATGGTTGGCTGTCTCTGTGGAAATGTAGACATGAGATTAAATTCAGGAAAACGTGTTACGTGAAAAATTATGCTGGTATTTCCAGCTGTGAAATGTATGAATCCAACAAAATGTCCAATTTGTTACCATATGAGAGAAGTGAGGAAAGCTGTACATATGCATTTGGACAAGTAACCTCAGAGGATGCAATGAGATTTATTCATGGTTTGCGATGCTTCTTCTTGCAGGAAGGCAATGAAGGTAGTCCATTGTCTGCATTAAATGCCTGTGCTGAATTTGTTTATTTACTGTCACTCAAAAAAACATAGCGAAAGGCGCTGGATCTACTTGCTCATTTAATTACTGTTAGACATAATAATAGAATGGTAAGTATGTGCGTGTTTGTAATACGTTTCAATAATCTGAGAGATTCTTTCGGAGTTGTTTAAACGTAACGTCACCTTGAGAATAAAGTGTATTTTAAAAAGTTTTGAGTAAAACGTTTAACGGTTTTTCACGTTAGTATTCGAAAGATTCGAGTGACCCAAGACAATACAAAGGTTTGAGTTTTCGAATCCTGAATCATTTCAGATTTCTTGGACGAGAAAGTCCATCCTTTAAAAAGAAACTAAATTTTTATTTATTTTTTAATATAATGCGTATAATTTAACTACAGTTTCAGGAATTCTTTTTCTTTAATGTATACAGATTATGGTTCCATTCACACGTATGTATTGATTGATTTTATTGGCTAATTGGCTGATATAAGCAGTGCGTAACTGTGCGGGCTTATATCAAACGAAAACCATGTCAGATCTTCCGGAACTTTCATCTTCTGGTCCGGTAAATAGACACTGTTTATATTGTAAGCTGGATAATCAGATGGCAAAGCAGCGGTCAGTTGATCGAAATATAAAAATCTTTTTATCTTCGAAGAAAATAAAGCATTTGAATTTGAAATGAATGAACTTTTGGTGTACACAAATTTTATTTTTAAATTCCATAAACCAATAGTTTCCTAAACATGCAAAATTGTTACTATCCTGGAATTAGTCTTCTGAGGGGGAATTTTATATGCAGGAAAACTTTGTACTTATGAGTTTTATTTCAAAATTCTAGGCTAGTTCTTATCATACACCTTATACATATTAGAATTCTTACATGCAAACACTTCATGCGAGAATTTGTTACTCAGATTCAGCTTTAGCTGCAGGTTACGTTTAGTTACAGTCATAACTATGAAGTTATTAAGAAGCAGTCTAACTACAACTGGATTAATGTAGTTAAACTGCTGATAGTCGCCAGTGTACTGTCAGCAAATATTTCAGTTCTGTGTTGTTTATTGTAACTTTATCAAATCATAAACGTTATCGTTTTTCTTAAGCAATTTCTGACATAAAATATGTTTACTGTCATTTGGAGTTGTTGTTGACTTGTCTTACCTAACGATACCGCTCCTTCATGGTGATAACTTTGGTATCGTTTTAGGGGGTTTATCTAATTTTGAAATACTTTTCCCGGAAAATCCAAACTTCGAGAGCTTTGTCAACCTCATATGGCGCAATGAAACAATATCACATTTTTTATTACCAGGTAGAACTGTAATGAGTGTCGATTTAGGGTAAAAAAAAGACAAGATAAAAATTCGAATACTGTCAAGCAATCACTTTGTGTTCCTGGAAATGGTATATCTTCTGGTTCCTGGAAATGTAGTAGATAAAAGCTGTATCGGAAGTAGTTCCAGTGAGTCTTTTGAGCTTTCGATGAAGAGATACGAGGATGCTGATAAAAAAAAAAAAAATCCTGTCATTTTGCCTTAGGTGAGAATATTTTCATTTTCGTTTCTGCGCAAGAGTTCATCAATATGGCTGGTAAGTAGACGAAGAATAAAATACTTCGTTTCAAAGAGGGGGGCAATGCATTCTTTTAGTTGCTAACTGTTGATCTCATGCTACCGGTTACTGTAAAGAATAAAAATATATTCTGAAAAATTAATTTTATTATTTGTTGGAGAGAAACATATCAGTTTGAAACTTTCTATGGTGGCTTTTTTAAATCTAGCTATTTGCTGATGTTCCGTTTTCGAAATTTAAAATATTCGCGCTCCCCAAAGAAATTAATATCAGTTATTTTATTTCTTAACATTTAGTTAAATGGCAAAAATATGTATTCTATACAATTATCGTAATATGTAATCTTACCGTATTCTGCTGATTTTATATCACCAAAAATGTTACTTCTTTATTTGTTCATGGAACTGGCTATAACCAAGAACTGATGTACATATATTTTTATGTGCTCATTGAAATGTCTGCACTCATGTGTAAGAAAAAATACTGTTCTATGTTAAACCATACAAAAAATTCATTTGGTTCATGTGGGTGTGCATGTATGGTTTTGTGATTATGCTGTAAGGTCATTAGGTTTTATGATGCAGGAAAAGTGAATAAGTGCAATGCCTTCGCCTGGACTCGAATCCTGGACCTCTCGAATATACATCGATTGTGCTTCTAGTTACACCATGAAAACATGCGGAAAAGAGGGAGAAAATACCTTACATACTTCCCCTTATACAGGGCGAGTGTGGATTAGGAGACCCAGTCGCCAAAACCTGATGGTGAGAAATTATTGTCCATCACTTTCTAGTTCGGGTGCCACTTCTAGAGTCATTTCAGTTTTTTAAATGTTGAAAACGTGAAAATGTGCAGTTTCTTCGCCTTGACTCGCACACTGGACCTTTCGAATACACGTCGACTATGCTTCCAAATACAACACGAGAGTATGCGGGAAGGAGGAAGAAAATACCCTATAAATGTAAACTAAAATTGCTTTTGAATAATGTGTTTAAGTGTTTAAAACTGCTTTGAATGCATTTACTTCCTGCCCGTTTTGAAGCAACTCAAAGGTGCATAGGTGCGTACACAGGAATTTTCTATATAAAGCATTTAATTATCGCTACTCTTTAATCTCTTAATTATCGCTAAAGAATTCATCATGGATTTTCCGTGGGAGAATAAGTTACCAAGCTTAGGACCTGTATGATTCGCGTAATTTTTGCATTTGGAAATTTGCATTCTTATTTTTTGATAAAAAGTGTGCACAATAGCATGAATGTATATTTATCCGTGATGTGGAGAACATTGTTGAAAATGCTTTTGAATTCCATGGAATATCCTGAATGAGCATGGTGATAAGGGAATACATACACATTTACCGGATTTCTAGGAAATTATTTCACTTAATAAGTATATAGTTGTACAAAGCATTAGCATCACCAAATATTATCGACCTGTGTTATATTGAAGAAACTAGATAATGAAGAATCTATATGAATGTTTGGAATTAGCTTTATTGTCCATTTCATATTTTGTGAAACTTTTTTATTTTGTCTATTTCATATTCGTAAAACGAATTTTTGATTAACAAACTCAACGATTTCAAAGCGAGCAGTGGCAACACACTGTATGGAATAAAATATTTTTTATGTCCAGCACGTCAGACCGTCTATCGGAAATTCTAAGAATCTGCTCTTTCCGAACAGGACATTAATCTCGAAATGGCATTTTACGTAGAAGTACTTAAATGCGTCATTCCAAAATTTAACGAAAAGTACTGTATTTCATCTGAGGTAAAAAGAGGTCATCACGAAATGCATTAACTTAATTTGAATATTTGACGCTCTTAATGAAATTCAGCATTTTCGACCCTTTTTATCTTTTTTAATTATGATAATTCGAGGTGTTACAAACGTGCTTTATGATACTTTAACAGCCTTGATTTAGTATATACAAAAATACAATGGGGTTAATTAATGCAAAATTCTAAATGTTTTCCTTTTACATTTCAGATAGACTGCTGAAAATACCATTTGTTGGCCCATCTTCTGTTGACTCTTGTAGTCATCTCACGAACAGCTAACCCCTCTTCAACTGTACGCCGCCATGTTGACTAGCTATCAAGCCCTGGATTCTACCTTCAGCAATCCCGTCGCCACTTGCCCGTCTTTGCCTCATTCCTCTTCAGGAGAGACTCATCACCAACAACAGCACTGCTTCCAGCTGCCTTTGGAACGGCAAGAGGGGCTGTGGCTGAACGGTTGTTCCGTAGCCACTATCTGCCAGGAAGACTTCTGGTGGAGGACAGAAGATCCGTATCCTAAAGATTTCTTAGACTTCTGCCAAGCCGACAACATTGTCGAGACCCCAGCGGCAATGGAAGTCATCGATCCAGAGGATGACCTCAAACGCCTCATCAGTAACGATCTGAAATTGAGGCTGAGTGGATACTACTATGGCAATCTTAGCTGGGTGGATGCTTCTCATCTTCTAAAACAATGTAAAGTTGGTACATTTTTGGTGCGGGACTCTGAACACTGTAGTTACTTATATGCCCTCTCTGTGCAAACCCGCAGGGGTCCAACAAGTTGCCGGATAGAATACGACCATGGGCGTTTTCGATTAGATTCTTCTGAAGAACTCACAGACAAAATGCCTCGCTTCGAGTGTGTAACTGATCTTGTTGATCATTACGTTCAACTAACAAAGAACTTGCCGCGTAAGAGCTCTGTCAAAGAGTTGTCTCCTGTTTGGCTGGACATGGATGAAGAGAATAGTATGGACGTCCCGGTTCAAATATACAAACCTCTGTATAAGGGGGTTCGAAGCTTGCAACACATTTGCCGTGTCAATATGGTGAGGATTCAACGCGAACGTTACCCATCTATGTCTTTGTCTAGGACTATTGAAGAAAATGAGTACAAAGTTTTGCCAACTGTATTGAAAGATTACTTGAAAGAGTATCCGTACTCTCAATGATATATCCGAAAATTTAGGATCTTAACTTCATTTAATTAATTTAGAATGACTTCTGTCACAAATGCGGTGAAACCTGTATTCCACCAAAAAAAAAAAAAGTGTCAGTGCTATTGTGTGCGTGTGTGTATGTAAACAAAATAAATGCATGCAATACTGGGAAAGAGCTACATAAATGCTGAGGGAAAAAAGAGGACTAAGATTTGAAAAGCATTTTAAAATATGTTTTATGCAAAAAGTAAAAATTTTAACTACTCTGAAGGTTTTTATGTGAGTAATAATTGTGATACTATGTATTTGGTTTTTAATAGAAGGTAAGAATGGATTTTTAATCTGAAATTTGTCCGTATACACAACCTTTTTATTATCTTTCTATTTAATTTAATGGTGGATCTAATTTTTATTTTTGAATTCTATATTTTTAAAACACGTTTACTAGCGCTTGTTTGAGTAGATATTGCATAGCTGAAGCACACATGTTACCGACCACCCGGAGATTAAATTTTTTTTCACATCCATACAGTTTTTTTAAAGAAAATAAAAGAGAAAAGTTGTATATATCTTTATCATTTTTATATCATTTTTTAACTTTGCTTCCTGATTATAATAGAACTTTAAAATCGCAGTAACATTTTGTGAACCAAAAATTATTTCTTTGCGGGTAAATAAAATAGCAGGTATTTATGATCCTTTAACTACTTAAGCGAGGTTTCGTTTTGTTTCATTGCATAAATCCATTTTGAATTTTAACTCTTTTTATGAAAAGGGACCAAACTGTCAAAACGTTTCATTTTACGTTTTGCAAAGTGTGCATTTACCCATGACAATAGAATAATACCTAAATTTAGTATAATATTTTCATTTTTTTGTTGTTGTTGTATTGAGTATTTGTAGTTGTACAAGACGTGCCTCGATGATGAAACTTACGTTGTAATATTTCATTTGTTTTGTTGTACATATGTATTTTCGATTTTCCAAGAAAACAGTATTATCTGAAATGATTTTTATTCAGACTGAATGTTTCAAAATTTTATTTCACGAATTTTTATCTAATGGGCATCCAAAATGCCTAATTTGAATTGAAAATTCTTTGAGTGTATATTTGAAAATTTATTTAACTAGTATGAAATATTATTTAGACATTAGGATTATATATTTTGAAATAAATTTTTTCATCACATTTTGAGAGATAGTGATTTGTTTAAAGTGAATGTCAAACTGTGGCATCAAAAGCAAGAAATCATCTTTTTTTCATATCCCTTATGTTGCCATTGGCAAATCCTCGAAATCAGACGAGAATGACTGTTAATAATTCACATGTCCATCGAACTGCACGATGTATATTTGTACGTTAATACATACATGGAAACGGCAAATCCTCGAAATCAGACGAGAATGACTGTTAATAATTCACATGTCCATCGAACTGCATGATGTATATTTGTACATTAATACATACATGGAATTTGCATAAAGATTAATTTAAATGATCAAAAACATTTATTATAGTAGAACTGCAAACGTCTAAACAAGTTAATGTTATAAAACATCTAGAGAATTTAATTTATCTTTACATTCATCAGCTTTCACGATTAAAGAAAGCTGAAAAATTTTTTTAAAGCAAAATACAAGAAACTAATTAAAAGGTGTAATTATTTATATATGAGATAAAACTAAAGAATAATAAAACTTAGTTAATAGTACATAACTGCTATTGTTTATTTAGTGCTGAGAGAATAATTATTTAAATGTATTGGTAACCAGTTTACATATACTCATTCATCGAAATTAATTTAAT